TTTAAATAGATTAGTTTTTGTTGTGTAGAACCATTTCATCAGGTTTTTTAACCATGCTATTCTTCTTCTCCCAATTCCTCGCTTTCCGAATACTTTGCCTTGAAGGATTATTTTCAGTAATTTGTATTTAGTGCCGTCTCTCATTATGTGTCCGAGATATTCCAACTTTCTCCTTTTAATCGTATACATCACTTATCTTTCTTTCCCCATTCTTCGTAGTATAGTCTCGTTATCTTGTCCGTTCATGATATCCTTATAAGGATTCTTGTGTATAGCCTTATCTCGAAGGCTTTAAGTTTTTTCTCCATCGCTTCAGTGAGTGTCCAGGATTCAATTCCGTAGTATAATATCGAGAAGATATAACATCGTAGGAGTCTTACTTTTATCTCCATATTAAGGTTGTAGCTTTTAAAGAGTTTGGCCATGTTGTTGAATGCACTCCTAGCCTTCTCTATTCTACATTTTACTTCTTGTGAGTGATCCTATTGTTCGTTTACTATTGTTCCAAGATAGGTAAACTGTTGCTGATGACCATAAACTTAGTTTTTGAAATGTTTACTTGTAGTCCAAATCTTTCACTTACTTCATTTACTTTGTTTATTGCTGTAAACTGTTTAAACTGTCTGCAAAAGTAACGGTGTCTTCTGCATAGCGGATGTTGTTTAGTTCTACACATACATCCTTGTCTAACGCGTCGCAGAATCTGAAACCGCTTTCGCCGGTTTATCTCCAAGATTTGTTCTTATTGTGACTGATTGGTTCCAGTATAAATTTTGTATTATACTTCGGTCTTTATCATCTATTTGGGCTTTCGTTCAGGTGGAAGATGGGAGAACATCCATCATTTTTCGGTGTTGAACTGTGTCAAATGCTTTTTGGTGGTCTACAAAGCAGGTGTAGATATCGGAAGTCATATCTCTGCATCTTTGGAATAATACCTGTAGACTAAACAGTTCAACTCTCGTACCTACGCCTTTCATGAATCCAAACTGTGTGTCTTGTATTCTCTTATTCTTACCTTCTTCGTTCTTCATAAAATTGTCATTAATGTCTTCTATCGTTTTAAGGGATTATATCTTCTTTTCTGTGCTTTCCATCGTATTATCGATTTCTCTGAATTTTCTATTTATTGTTTTGCTGATTATTTCTTTTACTTAACTACATTTTAGTTTTATTACGTCATGGTTTTTACAGTTTTTCCGCGTGTTTTCTTTAAATTGGTTCTATACACGCCCACTAAAGGATTGTGGTCAGATTGAATATCAGCGCCTGGGTAGGTTTTAACACTGTTGAAACTATTTCAATATCTTTTACAGGTATACAGGCGTCTAGGTGGTAGTTTGTAAAATGTGTTTAGCATGATTAAATCATGTTGAGCTGCAAAGAAACTCATTGTTTCTCCTCGTTAATTTCTTTCACCTAATCCATAAGGACCAATGTACCCCTTATTTTCCATTACCTATTTTAGCATTGAAATCTCCCATGATTATAAGGAGTTTATGTCTCGGTATATCTCTCATAAGGTTGCTTATTTGTTTGTAAAATTCTGATATTTCCTCATCACTGTCGTCTGTGTTCAACAGTGACATATTTATTTGTAACAAGAGGATTCTATCCTTCATTGGTATGAAGTTGTTGACATGTTTGGCTATACTTTTATGTGTGATAATTCCGACTCCATTTTCATATTTACCATTTTCTGATCCTGAATAGTACACTCTGTATTCTTCTGTCACAATAACTTGAGTCAGACCACCTCATTTTGCTTTTGGCCATTATTGTTATAATAGCACTAATAACACTTATTGACAAGCACTACTCTTCTTTTAATTTCTTTTCTGACAACTAGTACAACACATAATATATTTGATATTTTGGGAATTTATATTTGGTCCCATTCTCAGTGCAGATGCCCTTAACGACTGGAATGCTTCGAGAGACTCTCTGGATATAGCTACGATGTCTATGTATTCTGATTATACAATTTGTATAGATTTGTAGAAGATAGTGCCTTTCATATTAATCTTGGACACTCAAATTAGTTTTTCTAGAGCAATAACTTGTGTTTCCTACAAGAAGTTTCTGAGTTAAAAATTGTCTTGATTGTTTAGTCGAGTTATAGATAACTAATAATAAATCACACAGTATTCACAAAATAATATGTGACTTTAACTTTGACTTCCATTTAAAAAAAATGTTAAGTAGTAGAATTATTAAAACTATATTATATAATTTGGTATTGTAACAACTATGTAAATATGTATATGCGGTTTTTGGTATAATCAAAAAATGTTTTTGTACTTACCACAACCACAGCTTCGTCCAACTGATTTAATAATCTTAGTTTAAGTTCCATTAACCCCGTAGGCATACTCTCTGTATTCTTTAAAGTAGTGTACTCATCTAAAATTTCCAAAAACACTGAGGAATATGTATTGTTCTTATAACCAGTTATTCCAATAATATTGACACCAGGAACTTGACAAGACAATTCAAACTTATTAAGCTCACTATTTCCAATTGAGGTTTTTAAATCACTGCATATTCTTTGTAATTCTGGTCTTTTTTCTAATTGATATTTCATATCGTAATCCAACTTAACAGAGGGAACACTGAGATCTTTTAAAAATTCTTTATTTTCATAGGATATACATGTTATCAGAAGATTTAATCTTTGTTTTGTATGGGTATTCAAACCTGTAAAAATGATAGTTTCTTTTGAAGTTTGAAATAAAAGTTTATTTTATGTTAATAAATTAGGCCTGACATTATTATAGAGGTGATGGACATATAAAAATATGATCAAATATCTGTTTAAATATTTTTCTTTTTTTTTCAATTTTTTACCTCAACATTGTACGTTTATTCTGTTTGGAACAGATATTCTTATTGAATGAGATACCAAGTAGCTTATAAATAAAAGTTGAAATTCTACTAAATTCTACTAAAGTAGAAAATGAATGTTTTTAATTAACTAATTGTGTTCTGTATTTGAACTACCTATATCTTGTTGGATATCCTGTATGTGAGTACAACCCAAGGTTTAGCTAACCTTGTAAGTAGGTTCTTTAGGAATAGGGGAGGCTGCTGATCATGGTAACTGAAATAATCAACATACCCAGATAAGAAAATCAACATTGGGGAGAAATTCATTCACCGTAACTGAAATACTTATCATAAATAAGTATGTGAGTTAACAGAAAACAAAATGGCTCAAATAACAAGAGGTCATCACCATCAGTTGGTACTACAGCCCTTCGAGAGCCTTGCCTTTGCCCTTCCTACAGTCAAATTTAGCAAAGTTATATTAGGAGGCCCACTGTTATCAGTCTGCATAAAGCAGCCCACCCATTTTAAATGGTTTATTTTGATGGTTGTGTTGTTCTTGCTGTCTCCACAGACCCTGTTCATTTACTCTGCCATATGGTGCTGAATACTTTTCTTTCAAAGATTTTATTAGCCACTTCTGGTCTATGATCAGTTTCTTTCAATTTCCTGAATTTTATTTGTATGTTTAATTGATATATCTGCTAACTATCACCCAGAATGAGACTGAATGTCCCACCTGCCACCTTGTGGGTTCTGTTTTGGCCACCTCATATTTAGCCTTGTTATCATCTTTGCTGTTACAAGAAACTAGTCTCTACCTACCAACTACAATGTCAACATAAACAAATGAAGAACTTATTAAATTGATCCATCCGTAAATGAAAATAATTTTTGATGAAGCTATAAATCCATCTTCACTTTAGTATCTTATACATCATGACAAAAAATAGGAACAAAACACATCCATGTCACTAGAATAAATAAACTTCTTGTAATTAACTATCAATGAATAAATTGTACCTAACAAATGTTTTTTCTCATTTGAACAGTTCTTCATTTATAAAGTTATACCATCATAGTATAAGCAAAGATTAAAACAACTTTTGTTAAGCACACCTAAATAATAAATAAGTAGTAAGTAATCACTTACCATAAATAGTTTTTATATTGTGCTTAGTTAGAAAAAAAGGAAAAAGCTCATAAGCACAATAATTTAACATCCACAAGTAAAGTGCAATTTCTGCTAAACTTGAATAATCACTTTCAACATCACCAGCCTTGACTCTTGTTAAAATATTTGGAATTATCACAGTTTTAATATCTTGAAGACTCAGTTTATAATTTAAATTGCTTATACACCATAGAAATCTTTTAATATCCTTGAGTCTTATATGATTAGACATGTGTTCCTTTTTAGATATAAAATCAGTCTCCCTGAGTAACTGAATAGATCTTTCAGAAAAAACTCTTAAAACATTTTCATCATAGTACAAATAGTCAGAATACACAGCTAAAATATGACTCAGGGCAGAGAATGAATATTGTTCAAATGATTTGTTAAAAAGCATAGCATGGGATAAAGTTCCTAATAAATCTTCGTCTTGATATCTATTTTGTCTTATACTTTTTAAAAATGTTACAAAAAATGCTGGATCATTCAGTATTTTTAAATTGTTGTATAAGTAAGTTGTAAGTGTATTAAATATCTTTTCATTTAACTTGGTAGTTGTTTTAAAAGTAGAATTACAAATCACACAAAGATCTTCTGGTGTTAAAGCCTCTAGATCAGCTCTAATCAAATAGTTCATGCATTTCCTAACAATATTGTGTTGCTTCACTTGCTTCTTTCTTAACCCAATGTAAAAAATAAGTTGTATTATTTCATTTTTGTTTAACAAATTCAGTCTTTTCGTTAATTCTTGTATTGCTATTTCATACAATTTATAATTAATTATCCTATTAGGTACCTTTGACATATAAATATATAGAAGTTCAAAAATATCAGCATTACTTAATTTATTTACTCTGGTAGAACATTCTTTATCTATAGCTCTAAGCAAATAAAAATTATTTATATCTTGGCTAATATCCAACAATCTAACTGATGTTTTGATTTGTTCAATGTTGCATTTGTTGAGATCAGTGATTTTCAATTTTATTGGATCTTTCACAGGTATGATGCACTCATTTCCATGAACATTACTGTGCATATTAAAGCTATTTAAATATCGTAACAGGCGCCCGGTTAGAGTTGTTTCTCCTAGTTCAATATTTTTATCTCCAAAAAATGACTTTTTTCTTAGTTGAATTCTCTGATATGTCTGAAGAAATCGAAAGGATTTTAGTAATTGATGTAAACTGAATATTGTAGCCATTATCTAAAATTAGGTAGGTAACTCACTATATTTATAAATACGGTTAAAAATAAAGCAGCAAAGCCGGTATTTTCAATTATCTAATAGAACAAAATCACATGACTGTCTATTAAAATGATATAAAAACCGCATACCACACATTTCTATATATTATAAAAATATTTAAAATACTTTATCTAACTTGACATATAATTAATAAATAATGTTACTGTAACAATACAAAATAAATAAAATAAATAGGATTGGGTCACCGTGGGTCTTTTGAATATTATTTTTCATCTTCTTTTATTTTCAGTAAGGTAACTTTCTATTTCCTATAAGGGATTGGCTTTTATATAACTGTATTATATAATTATACTATACATGTAGCTGCCTATTGTATTATTTATTTTACAAATATACATACATTAGTTTAGATTTTTTACAACTCGTATTATCCTGACTATAATAAGTAGTTTATTCTTATTATAAATATTTAGCCGGTTTTAGTTTAGTTGTATAAATGCAATGTTATTACATAACATAAAGAGGTAGAATCTAACCTATATGATTTAACGTAAGCGCCAAACGGCCAAACAAACAAAACAAAGAGACAACTTCACATTATACAAAAATAAACATATCATATTCATCTACATTATTAGATGAAATAATTTGGAAATTTAAGGTTGGTGACAAAAAAGGTTTGTATATTTGTTAAGAAAAATTTATTCACGTTATTATGCATGTAATGCATCTAAATAAAATAATAATACCTTTAATAAATGCCAGTGATACCAGTACAATAATATGGTTTTGAAGCTAAGTTTCTGTCTTGGATCATATTATTAACCCCCTTTAAAAACATGTCCTGCATAAACATTATCGAGGTTTTCCTTCCCTACGCTTTTCAGGAACATCATATTGGATGATTAGCATGGTTGAACATGCCTGAACCATCTTAAGCTACATTCCCTTATTTTAGCATCAATTGGTGTCACCGTAAATTTCCTCTAGTACACTCATTCTTAATTTTATTCTTTGTTTATTGTATAATATATTTATATTCTATTTTTGTGTTCATTGTTTCTCTTTTTTAACTGCCTAAGATTCAATTCTGTACATTGTGGCTTGTCTTATGGCAGTTATATAGAATTTTCCTTTCAGTTTTATTGGAATCTTTCTTTCACACAACATACAACTAGCTTTATTCCACTTTCTCCATCCAGCCCTAACTCTGTGCATGCTCTCCATATATTTCCCCATTAGCTACTCTGTAATACCAATCCTACATACATAAAACTAATACCAAAGAATATAGATGCATACATCTATATTATTTGCTGGTACGTTTTTTTAAGTTATCAGTTTAGTGGTAGTTGTAATTCCATATTTAACTGAACATTCCAAATAAGTACTCTGTTTTTGACCTACTAAATATTAAACTTTTTCTTCAAGATCTTGTGTCCACTGCTTTAGTTTTTGTTCTAAATCTCTTTCAATATTTCATACTAACACTACATTATCAATATACATTAAACAGCATGGAATTCTAACCTGTAGTTTCCCTGTTATCTGATTTCAACACTAATGAAAATAAATAAGGACAAGCACTAAGACTTGATGTAATCTTACTTTCACATGAAATTTATCACACTCTCTCTCATATCTGTCACTAACATTACTTGCTAGTTCCTCACACATGTCAATTTTCACATTCTCACCAGAAACTCATTTTTTGTTAAGTGCCCACCTCAGAACCTCTCGAGGAACTCTGTCATATGTTTTCTCAAGATCAGTGAATAGCATGTGAGTGTTTGTTTCTTGATTCCAGTATTTTTCCATCAGCTGCCTTATAATTAAAATTGCGTTTGTTATTTTTTCCATCTATCAATGACTCTCCCATATTTTCACGGCATAGCTAAATAGTTTTAGGCCTTTTTAGTTTTTACGTTGCTGTATATCTCCTTTATTTTTGTAAATAGGTACTAATATACTTCTCCATTTATTTGGCATTTGTCGCACTTCTATAATTCTATTAAACAAACCTGTTAGCCTAATGTCTCACCTAAAGCTCTTTCTTCCTCCTAATTATTTTCAAATCCTTCAAATTCTTTATTTATTAACTACCAAAATAGTTTTCCCTTGCTTTTTGACATACTTTTCATAAACTAGAATTTTATTATTTTTGAAGTAAAATGCTGAGATGAGTATCATGGAAGTAGCGTTACGAAACGCTAAATAGCAGTTTGTGCTTCGCAGTCACAATAAACAGTTGAAAGAGTACAATTATGTGACGAGAAGTGTCTGATGTACAACATTATAAACTTTTTCATTTTTTTTAAATGTATAAGAAAATAATAAATAAATAATAAACTTACTTTATTCAATTATTATTTATTTAACCAATATAAGGTTGAATGTTCGAATAAATGAACTTTGATGGTACACAAGGCAAATATCGAACACAGTATTTAATTAAATCTTGCCCAAGTACTTTCGATCACAAGATCATCCTCAGGGGCATTTCGTCAATTGTGGCCTATCCAGCAATAACCGGAGACGGTTTATATTATAGAAGCCGGAGACAGATTCTGTCTCCGGCTTCTATAATATAAAAATGTAGCTTCTCCAATTTAAATTTTAAAGTGTTTGTTTGTCTTTAGTGTATGTATTTGTTATGTCCCAGTTTACATGTATGACATTCGGTTATTGCTGGATAGGCCACAATTGACGAAATGCCCCTGAGGATGATCTTGTGATCGAAAGTACTTGGGCAAGATTTAATTAAATACTGTGTTCGATATTTGCCTTGTGTACCATCAAAGTTTATTATTTATTTCACAACAAACACATTTTGCAGAAAAAATGTAATTACAAGTTATGAATTTTACATGTACACATATAGAAATATATAAACAGATCATCATCATCAGTAGCTTGACAACCCTTTCTGGGTCCTGGCTTGTTCTAGGATTATCTGCCATTATGTTCTGTTCCATGCTTTGTTTTTCCAGTTGGTAATCTTAAATGTTTTCAGATCTTGTTCCACTTGTTCCAAGTTTGGGTCTTCCCTTTGACCTTCTCCCTACTGGTGTTTGCCTCATTATATGTTTTGGTGTTTGTCTCTAACATCCGTTCAACATGGGCCATCCAGCACAGATGCCTGATCTTTATGGATGTTATGACCTCGGGTTCATTGTATGCTGTGTATAGTTCAAAATTATATCTTCTGCTCCATGTCATTTTCTTTCACCCTTTTATATATGTGTCTAAGAATTTTTCGTTCAAACATACCTAATAGTTTCTCATGGCTTTTCTACAGTGTCCATGTCTCTGATCCATATACAAGGACTGGTTTTATCAGGGTTTTGTATATTTTGCAGTTGGTTTTTCTTGTGATGTTGTTAGATCTTAGATATTTAATTAGTCCATTATATGTTTTATTAGTGATATGTATCCTTCTCTTAACTTCTTCACTGACATTAAAATTTTTCATGCTTTGGATGTTATAGTCTCCTATTGTCAGATTCTGTAGGTTTCTTTTGGCTGTTGATTTGCTGGCCTTCATGTATTTGGTTTTTATTTCTTTAATATTTAATCCACTGGTTTGTGCCACTCTTTCTATCACATTAAATGCTTCTATCATCTCTCTTTCGCTTCTAGCAATGATATCAACATCATCTGCAAATGCCAATATTTGTAAACTTTTTGTTATTATTGTTCGTCTGGTGTTGACTTTTGGCTCTCTAATTATTTTCTCTAAAGGTGGGTACACATATGCTCCGAATGCCGTTTCGAACCCCGTCGCGTTCTTAAGTGTGGACGGAGTCATGCAACCGCGTACCGTACCTCGACGCGTCAACAACGTACATCGAAGCGATCCATCGGTTGTCGGTAAAATACCTACGCATCAAAAGAAATTTGAGCGCGGCAATGTACACCGCGAATTCATGTTTGGACTAGCTTGCGAATCTTTTATCGAATCTCCAGTCATTCAAAATAGTCAGTCTGTTATTTTGAAGGTTGACGGTGTTTTTAAAGTTGAGTGCATTAAAATGGAATGGACCATCTCCTTTCACGAATATTTTTCGTTTTATTAACTGAATAATGCATAAGAATGTAGGCTGCTGCAGCAACATCCATCTTGCACATGCGAATTCAACTCAATTACTGCTGGAACGCTAAAATGTTTGGTACAAAGTACGGAGCGGTGTTCGGTTCGTTACTTATTTCAATGCCCCCTGTAACAACGTCGCGAACTTTTGTTGATCGCGTCGCTGTACGCGACGGGGTTCGAGACGGTATTCGGAGCATATGTGTACCCACCTTAATGTGATGTTGAATAGAATACAGGATAGGGCATCTCCCTGTCGTAGGCCCGTTCTCACATGGATTGTATCTGTTAGTGTGTTTTGAATTTGAATTTTGCTTTATACTTTGTACATGTAAGAATAAATCTTTATATTTTAAGTTACTCACAACAACATATACAAACAGCATTGCTTGCATTCTCCTTCTCTGTACCTATGTTACAAACTTACAAGTTTTAAAAGTCTTTTTTTGTACCTTTTCAACTAAATCTATATTTACTTACTGCAAGAGGTGCCCAAACTACAGAAGCATACTCGAGGTCTGGTCTAACCAAGGAGTTGTATAATTTAATTATGCTATCTATCATCTTATAATGGTTTGTGTTTCTAATTACAAATCCTAATATCCTAAAAGCCTTATTAGTAATGATGTGATAATGTTGATTGAAGTGCAAGTTTTGTTGAAAATTCACACCAAGATCTTTACACACTGATTTTCTTGGCAATTCTCTATTATTTATATTATAAGTCATTTTTATAAAGTTCCTGTTACATGTGAAGGTTCTCACTGAACACTCCTCAATATTTAGATCCATTCCATTTATTTGAAACCAATTAGATACTGCATTTAAGTCTAGTTGTAATAGTTGGTAATCCCATAAAATCATCTGCAAACATTAAGCAAGACGAAAATTTGAGAAATCTATAAGATCATTTATAA